TCCTGGTAGTCTTATACTCTATAAATATACACTTTTTGGTATTGCCCATTTCCTGCCATGCAGAGTCCCAGAGGTGAATCTCCCTATTTCTCCAAGTGTGCATCACTCACTCTCCTCTGTGCTGTGTCCTAGTGCTGTGCCCACAGCCTCACACAGCCGATGACTTCAGAGCCAGGAAACAGCTCAAGAGTCGGCCCCGAGGTTCCCTCTCTTCTTATTTCCCTGCAACCTAGGCTTCACTTCAACTGGCAGCTCGATTTAGCCGAATTCAGGACAGGCCACCAGGGCTCTTACTCCACACAAGCTGGTCCCACCCCAGGTGGAGTCAGGCAGGGCCAGACACCAGAGAAGCCCGGAGCAGAGTAGGGAGCGGTCTGAGCTGCTCCTCTCTCATCCAGGGGACTTCCTCCTCTCATTTGGAGGAAAAATGTGAGCTTGTTTCAAACCTCAGATGTTCCTTGAAGCTCATGGAGTAGTAAAAGAAAACAAAGACGTGGTAGAAAGGGAAGTGTTGGTGACAGCGAGAAAAAACTTGTCCTTGAGGACTCTCCTTCTTGTCCCTCTGTGAAGCCTCTTCCACCACATCGGGCTCAGGACTGACAAATCCCCCTCCCAACCTTTCTCAGCCTGGACTCAAGTTCAGCCATGAGAAAACAGAAACACAAGGAGAAGAGAATCTGTAGAGAGAAATTGGGAGGGCTCAGGAGGAGAATTTGGGATTTGCTCCTGCCCATGGGACACAAGCTGGGAATAAAAAATGTTTTCCTGACTCTTCTCCGAAAGCCAGAGAGACTCTACCTAAAACCCTATAGCCAATGATGCAGGATCCACTTACGAGAGACTTCGATCATCTTGAATGTGGAACGTTCCCTGCCAGTGGCTGAGTTACGAGCAGAGCAACCATAGAGTCCGCTATGCATTGTAGTAATATGGGGGATAAAGAGCTCTTGTCCTGATTGCAGAAACTTCCCATTAATCTTCCAAGAATACTCTGCCGGTGGGTTAGAGTCCGCGAAGCAGTACAAGTGGAGCTTTTCTCCTGTATGGTAATTGGAGAATGGAGACACAATGCTGGGGACGTCTGGACCATCTGGAGTAAAGAGAATAAAGCCACAGGTGATGTCGTCTGAGGGAAGGAGATGCTCCTGGTCTCTTAAAGGTACCAGTGTCCCTCTGAGTCAAGACATACCCTTAAGGCCCAGCCAAACCGCTCCTGTGTTCACTGAGTCAAGGCCTGAGGTATTCACCTGTTTCTCCCATCACAGGATGCAGACCCCAAGTCTCCCATGATGAGAGTATCTCTTCACCTTATATTCTTGGTTAAGGCTGTGCCTACCCAGGTTTTCCCAGGGCAGGGAGTCATGGCCAGCTCGGGTGTCCAGAAATAAAAGTGTCTGTACTTGGACGTGAGAGAGACTGAGATGCCTGGCCTCTGGTCGTTTGGATTTTAGCTGGTGGCCTGGTCCACAGAGGAACCAAAGATACAAAGGACCTCCAGGGTGACTGGGTCACTGGGTATGCTACCAACTTGGTCCCGTATTTTACATTCATAGGGTCTTGTGTCATTTCTTGTGACATTCGCTAGAATGAGGATACTGTTTTTACCGAGTTCCTTTAGCCTGGGAACTGACCGGGAGGCTCTGACCATTTACCCATCACACATAGGTGTAGCCCTGAGTCTTAGGTTCACAGTTAAGGCTACAACATTCTTATTCTCCATGGGTTTGAAGTTGTTGCTGGTGATGTAAGACTTGGGCAGCTCCGCTGTGTGGATAACAGAGAGAAGATTGTCCTGTGTGGCACCTTTGATGCCTCCATAGTCATCCTTCAATCAGAGTTGGCATCTCCCACCTCTCAGCCCACTCGAGTCCTTGAAAGTCAGTAGCTGGTGCGTGTGTCACAAGACAGATACATGATGATCTAAGGGCTCAAAGACTCTGAGGCCGCCTGCTCTGTCTTAGGGAAGCACCGACTTTCTCAAGTGTGAATTGAGCAGCAGTGTTGGGTCATGGACAGACAGGTCAGTGGGACCCACAGCCCCTGGTACCCCTCCCAGTCCCTCTCTAATCAACTGTCTTGCTGGCTCACCTTGAGTTCCTTACCTGGAATATGCAACTGCTGGGCCCCTTCCAAATTCCATCTTACTTTGCCCCCCAGATATGATTTCTCTGCAGTTTCCATTTCCAAGGACATTCTAGAGATGAGTAATAATGGAACTTTCCATTGTACTGAAACCCTAAGATACTGAACAGCCTTGCCTGGGACTGGATGTTTCAGCAGAAATAAGACAGGGGAGACCAGAGACAAGCCTGGAGGTCAGTTCAGTCATCAGGCAGTGGAGGCACAAGGTGGGGCAGTTTTCTGCAGGTGTTTCATGATGACTTACTTGAGCCAGTGACCTCCAAAGACAGAGAAGAGTGCAAGGAATGATCTAGAAAGAGTGAAGGGGACAGGCAATAGCTGGTGACTTAGGAGCAGAACCATGTTCCCTATTCTGGATTCTTTAAGTTTCCTCTGCTTCTGCAGAGGACAGGTGAGGACTATGTGGATCTTTCCAGAAACACATGTGGACATTTGCAAATGCAGAACTGACTGGTGGAAAGGGTGGGAATGAACTTCTGGAAATCTGGTCCTCATGGACCATGTGTGTTTGATGTATATGAGACAAATTTGGGGAGAAGTTTTGCAAATATTTTCTTCCATTGGACACTCTCCTCTCTGATTCCATGGGTTTGACTACTCTAGGGACCTCATGTAAGTGAATTCCAGAGTGAATTTGAGAAGAGAGCTGCTGGGAGTGGGGAGAATCAGAAGTTTTTTGTGGGTGTGCAGTTTCTGTTATGCAAGACGAGGAAGTTCTAGAGATCTGCTGTACAGCTCGATGCCTATAGTTCACACAGATTGAGTATTTCTTATCCATAAGACTTAGGACAAAAAGTGTTTTGGATTTCTGACATTTTTTGATTCTGAAACGTTTTTCACATACTTGCTGGTGTAGCATCCCAAATCTGAAAGATTCAAAACCTAAAATGCTCAGGTGAGGGTTTCTTTTCAGCATCAGTTAAGTATGCAAAAGTGGGAAGTGATAGGCCAAATACTTTCCTGCCTTTTTTTTTCTTTCTTTTTTTTTTCTCTCACCACCTTTCTAGCTTGGTGATTAGTTTTTGGTCGATTTCGTAGTGGTCATGCGGCACTTGTATATTCTTGAAGGCTTTGGGATGTGAGAAATAATGACTGCTATTTTCTACGTCATCAAATCTTTCCACGTTTCCATGATTCCATCTTTTCCTCAGTTTCTGTGTTGTGGCAGTCATTAATAAGAGCCTGTCAGGTCAGATTTAGGACAGGTTTTTGTAATTCTGCAAAAAATGTTACTGGGATTCTGGTAGGGGTTGCGTTGAAACTGCAGCTCACTTTGGGTAGTATTGTCTTCCTAACAATATTGATTCTTCCAATCCGTGAAAATGAAATGTCTTTCCATATACTGATGTCGTCTTTAATGTCTTTCAGTAACGCTTTGTAGTTTTCAAGGTATAAACCTCAGACAGTTTTGATTAAACTTATTCCAAAATATTTTATTCCTTTTGATGTTAATGTGAATGGAAATTCTTTTCTTAATATCCTTTTACATTGTTCATTGTTAGTGTATAGTCTAAAGAATGATATAGAAAGAGTGAAGGGGACAGGCAAAAGCTGGTGGTTTTCAAGCAGAAACATATTCCCTGTCCTGGGTTTTTGATTTTCCCTCTCCCTTTGCAGAGGGCAGGTGACTCTTCCCTGATAGCCAGATAGACTTCACTGGAAAACATATTGCCAGTGCCCCAGGGACTCACTTACCAGGGACTATGATCCTCTGGATTATGAGATTTGTTCCAAAAGTGGCTGAGTTATGTATGAAACAGACATAGACCCCTCTACATGTTTTAGTGATTTGGGGATAAAGAACACTTGTGCTGATTGCTGGAACTTCCCATCAATCAGCCAAGAAAGCTCTGCCAGTGGGTGAGAGTCTGTGAGGCAGGAGAGCTTGAGGACTTCCCCTGTGTGCTAACAGGTGTACGGAGAAGAAATGGTAGGATCATCCAAGCCATCTGGAGCAAAGAGAATAAAGTCACAGATGATGATGTCAGAGGGAAGGGAAAATGCTGGTCTGTGGAAGGGCCACCTTGACCCTGTGAGCTAAGTCACAACACTGAAGTCCCAGTCAAATCCCTGCTGTGTTCACTGATCTGGACCCTGAGACGGTCACCTGTTTCTCCCATCATAACCTGTGGACCCTGAATCTCCCATGACAGGAGCAGCCTCTTCTCTCCCATTGTTGGTCAAGACTAAGGCTACTCTTTGTAGTCATGGCCAGCTTTGATGTCCAGGGGTAAAGGTCTCTGTACTTGCACCCGAGAGGGACTGGGAGGCCTGGCCTCTGGCCATGTGTATTTGGGATGGCAGCGTGGCTCACAGAGGAACAGAAGATACTCACAGACGGGATTCAGGGTGACTGGGTCACTGCGGCTGGAACTCACTGGGCTCTTCATTTCACATTCATAGGGTCCTGCGGTACGCCTTGTGACACCAAATAGAATGAGGGTCCTGTTGTTTTCGGACAGCTGCAACCTGGGACTGATAGGGAGGATCTGACCATTTATCCACCACCGGTAGCTTGCGTTCTGAGTGTCAGGATCACAGGATAAGGTCACAGTCTCCATGGCCTGCCTGGGGTTTAAGTTGCTGCTGGAGATGTAGGGCTTGGGAGTCTCCACTGTGCAGATAACAGAGAGAAGATTGCCCTGTGTGTCACCTTTGATTCCTCCAAAGACATTTTTCAATCAGAGTTGGCATTTCCCACCTTTCAGCCCACCCAAGTCCTTAAAAGC